TCAGAAACTCAATTCTTTTCTATTGTTAAGTAAAGACAGATTTCTAGAACCTGGACATGTAACAAACGTTTTTTGCTGAAGATGTTCTTGATTTTTTACTTTAGTACCTAAGTTCATTTTGGTCTGAAAAATATATTTTTGTGACCTTTCAGTGTCTTTTATTGACTTTGAGCTGATGTTAAAATTACATTTTAATTATTGATTTCTCCCCCATCTGCCATTATAGGGAGTGTAAAGAAGTCCTGTATTGTATCATGACGTGTTTTATATCTTGTTCCAGAAACAGTGATTAAGAATTTACAGTCAGGGCCCAAATTTTTATCTCTGCAATAACCTGTGTGAAGAGGAAATGCAATTAGTGTCCTTGACGTCATGACTGACGAAACCCATTTTGTTATGAAGATAAAGTAATGAAGCTGGTTTATCATGTTATTGTTAGTAATGAATTTACAGGAAAAATGTTTTTAAGATTTTCATTACAGAATAAAAATAAATGTGCTTGTGCCAATCAGATCTTTTTGGACAGTTTTAGCTGCCTTTAAATTTACTTTACTTCTCTGCAATAAAGCTGGAGTTGCCATTAAAGAGGAAAAAGGGGACAAAGTTCTTCATTGAAAGTAGGAAAGGATGCAAAATTATCAGCAGCCATGTGCAGTGTTGTTAGATTATATAATCACTTCAATCAGTGTGGCTCCGGGAGCAGAGCTTTGCCTGGTTTGGCTTGGCAAATGACTGCATTATGGGCGGCGTCCAAAACTTTTATTAGAGGTATCCTGATTAGTTTCTCTGCACGACAGAGTGAGGTCGAGAAACTGCAAGATTAAGCACATTTAACCACCTCACCACTTGAACAAAAATGTGATTAGTATTCCAGTTGAATGAATTTGAACAAGAATCGAGTATACTTTATTTAAAGAGGTAGTTTCTATGGTTACAAGTGGGGGAATATTTGAAAAGAGGGAATTGGTGAAAATGAAATGACAAGAGTGAAATATGTGCAATATTAAAAAGTTAAAGTTAAATAAATGTGCTCTTTGGCCTATATGACATTTGTAAGGGGCATATTTAACTGTAAGAATAACACAATAATTTAAACAGTTTTTTTGTTCTTTTTGTCTAAGAGAAAATAACTACTGTATATTTGAAATGAGAAAGTCCTGATATCAGACGGCTGAGTCAAATCACGCACAAAGCAGATCACACAATAGTTTAGGTATTTCCTTTCAAACTATTTTTGCCTAAAATAAGTTGCCTGGTGTTAATGCAGATATAGGTATCACACAAGATTTTAGTTTAAAAAAAGTTGCATGTACAAGCTGTCTTTTATTGTTCCAATGATAAAACAGTCCTGTGATGATTAAAATAATAGTCTAATTTTGCAAAATATGCTTTTCCTTGGAAGAGTTGGATGAAAAAATATTTTCGAATCCAGGAGTTTTATTTATTTATAATTAATTTTTTTTGCATGGTGGGATAGGGCGTTAGCCTTGGAGGAGGCATGTTCTCTCAAAGCACCTATCTAGTTAAGCTAATACAAATCTGATGCTAGCACTAATTTAATAAGCTTGCAACAATGAAAGCCTGTAGTTGTAACAACAAAAACAAGTACTGTATGAAACAGTCCAGTCCCATGGTGAAGCGAGTAGAGTGGCTTGCAGGTCGTACATATACAGGTTCAGCTCTCTCCTCGTCTTCAAGGTGAACATTGTATTTGGTGGCTGTTTGTCGGGATAAAATCTTGCTGCTGAAATATGAGGTTGGCTGAACTTCATTTGATCTTGCTTTTAATACCAATGTGCTTTGAGCAGATACATTTTGCGTAAGTGATTGGACAAATACCAATCTTAACAATCTGACGCAACTATACATAAGTAACAGATAACACATCAGCAGTGATGTGATGGAATAAACCTTTATTTTACCAGGAACTCTATACATCATAAACAGCAATCTTGATGGTGTCTATTTGTATCCTAATGAAACCTTTCTGAGTTTTAAATGATGTGCATGAGATAAGAGAGCACGTATCATGTCTACAGATTGGACTGTTTCATTATGAGTACATGGGTCATTCAGTTCTTAGATGAGTTTTATTTCAGGATTGTAAATAGATTGGTATGAATCACCCAGGCAGTAGTTTGATCCAGCCAATTATCCCACTGAGTTGAACAATAGCATTATAATTGCCAGTAGATATACAGCGAGTGGGTGTGGTATAGTTGCATTTCTTACACCTCATGTACAAAGTCTTAAGGTAAATATATTTTTTGATGCGGAAAACTTACTCCTAGGATTTGAAATTTATTCGGTATCAATTAACTATGAATTGACAGAAGATCTACCTCTTTGCAAAATCTCATGGAAATCCCAGCTGAGAAACAGATAGGAGCAGAAATATGACATCTTCAGAATTAAATATACAAATGTTGGTTGTATGTAACCTCCTGTTTTTCACGCACTTTTATTCTTTCTTTACAGTCTCCACTGAGGAGCAGTGGCAGTGAGTGGTCACTCTCAGAGCTGGATGTGTTGCTGCTGGCGGGCACCATTGGACACACTCTCAGCTTGTCGGCCAGCAGCTTCGTAGAGGAAGAGCACCAAACCTGGTACTTTCTGCTCAGCACCCTCTGCCTCGCCATCTTCCAGGATGTGTGCCGCAAGTACTTCAGAGAGCAGAGTAGCTCGAGAGATGAGGAAGAGCTTATCCTGCCTTCCAAAGACAGTCACCCCTCTGCTCACCCTAAGGCAGAGATGTACTCAGAGAAGTGGTTAGCATTAGCCACGCCGCCCTTCACTCTGCTCTGCTGCCGGCTGCTGCGTTCGCTCAACCAGACCGGGGTACAATGGGCTCATCTTCCTGATGTCGGACATTGGCTTAACAGGTTGGCTTTACTGATCCTCTAACACTATGAATATAAAGTGCTACACAAATCTAAATTAGAGAAACATACAATAAAATTAAATAAGCCATTTAATTTCAAATACAGAAAACATTTTGAGAAGAAATTAATAAATTAGTATATATTTTAATGATTTATTAAAATGAGTAGTTATAAAATCATTCATTCTTATTTCATTACAGTTATTTTATATTTCATTACAGTTATTTATATATATATATATATATATATATATAGCAGAGAAGGGAGATCATTTTGATGTTATTATGATGATAATCAGAGAAAAGACACAGGGCTGTTTATACAGCATGAAGAGAAGTGTGTCTCTGTCTTTAGTTTCTCTGAAGTTCCTATTAGACAACATAATTATATTTAAATTCAAATGTGCATCTGAAAATCTACAAAATCTTCATTATGTTGTTTATTCTGTCAAACAATATTTTGTTGCAGGCTGTAATGAGCATGGGGCGGCTCGCAGATCTGGGGGCTAGCAGTCTTGTGTTATAGTATAAAGTGTATTTTTTATGTGACTATGTGGGAACATGTAGGTGACAGGACATTACAAAAACTAATTTTCAACACGGCTACAGTTTAGGAGGAAGAATCAAGAGATCCAATGTAAAGTTGAGGTTTCAGTGCAGTTAAAGTGAATGTTTTACTGTTTGAAGTAGTTTCCGCAGTCATGCAGGGATAGATTCATAATTAAAAGGCAGAGACACCAATTTGTTCCCTAAGACAGTAGCCCTTCTCAGTAGATGAGAACGCAGTGCAGCGACAAGTTGCTCAATTCCCATTTGTCTCTCTGCCTACATGTAAGTGTGAGAGATCAATAGAACAAGTTCAGGATTTTGAAAGCTATTATGGGAGGATCTCACCTTCTGAAGTAACTATAGACGAGGCTGGTTGAGTGAAATACACTGGGAAATTACTCATGTTAACCAACTAAGTCTGAATTATTTGGTCATCACACGCACTCAAGGGAAACAATAGGGTGTTTACACGTCTCTTCCTCTGGCCCTGTTCAGACTTGTTATTATCATCTGTCCTGACTGATCCCATCACAAGTGCTTATGCTTTGTGCATATGTTAATATGTTTGTGGCCACCACCACAATATCAACACTGATCACAATGACTAATGTTTTATCTTACATTGATGAAATTGTTTATCATAGCTGCACCCATTCATTCATTCAGTCCCTCCTGAGTTTGCTCGCTCTTGTTCTCCATCTCTCTATTTCAGCTACGTCGACACACACATTGTCCCTAGACACATCTGTTAACTCAGACTGGGTAAAAAATCATTTGATCTTAATGAACACAAATTACATGTATGTTTATTTGCATGGAGAGCGGGGAAGTGAGATCTGATCAACAGTGGTCCCAGGAGACACATCCAGCACACTTGTATTAAAAAGAGCTATAAAAATAAAGTTATTATTGTAATTATTTTAATGTCGGGTGTGAACCTATGAAATGTTGCCTGAGAAGCTGACAGGACTCTCCACTTACCATTCTAAAAACAAGATTTAGAAGGGAAGATAGCCTTCTGCTCTGGCTGTAGAAGAACTATGATTTCTGTTAAACTGTGACTGGTAACATTTGTCACCAGCACAAGGGCAGGGGGGTTATGGTTTGCTTCTTCAACATGCATCACATTGTGAAGTAGAGATGTGAATTCTGACCTTTTTCATGTCCGGTTCTAACCCTTTCAACCCATCCTCCACTGCCTGTGGCTTAGATAATGACATCTAGGCGGCGTTACACCTTATCTTGCCTCAAAGTACCCAACTTCAGCTGCCGTCTGATTCAGCTAACGGCTAAACACACAGCGTCTATTCAACTTTGATATGTCCTTTGAGGTCTAATTTCCTGTCTGTGCTTAGTTTGGTGTAATTTCACACTGTATAGCCTCAAATCCAGGGAACAATCGAAGATCCCTGACGCTTTACAGTTTAAACTACTGCTGGAGGATATGATGACAGTGTTTTATCTTATCAAAATGTTCTCTCTTGCTCAGGGAAATGTACTTGAAGGTTTAAGCTTTATTTTTGTATTTTTGCATTTTCACACATCCTATGATTTCAGGCTAAAAGAAAGGAATATGTTTACACATGGTAAATATGGATGAACTTCAGTTTGAGATTTCAAAGTGCCCCTTCATATGAGATTGCATGGTCTTTTCTTTACCCCATGACTATCTGTCTCTGTCTGTCATTATGTTGTAGCTCTGAACACAAGGTGGTTCTCTCCCTGCTGGCTGCCTTCTGTTTGGTTCTTATCTACCTCCTGGTTCAAAGACGGTGCTCATGGGTCTCTAAGGTCGCCCTCGCTCTCGGACTTCTGGGCGTCTACAGCTACCGGGCAGCTGTAGGCAACATCTTGTTTCCCTGGCAACATTCTGGCCGTACCCCATCCAAGTAAGTTTTTTGCGAAACCCTGTAAACATGTTTTCATTCACTGTAACAGTTGGCAAATTGCTGTCCCCTGTTAGTGAGCTAATTTAAACTGCCAGGTTGGGCTGTGATGCAGTTGAGCGTGCAGACTACAGCACTGCTTGTGTCATCTGGGACAAACACTCAGACCCACATCGTTTTAACTGTGATGATGAACTGATGTACCCTTTCTCTTTCTTGCTAAATGAGAGCACAGACTGAGCAGAGAAATTGCAGTGGTAATATATCACCATGCAGAATATTGGAATAATAGTTTTATAGATTTGCTTTTCATTTGTCTTGAAAAGAAGAGGGTTTTTTTTTGCAAAACTATGCATTGTTCACCAATGCTGAGCAATGAAAAGGTCACTGAGTGGAGGGTCTGGAAGTATATAGAGACTCCAGATGTGCAATATATAGTACATACTGGAAAGTGAAATTTGGAATCTCAGTGCCTGTTTGAAAGAAAAGCTTTTGATTCACCAGCAGATCTACATTCCACCCCTCACCTCTGGTCACAGGCTCTGGATAGTAACCAAAAGCACAAGGTCACTAAAACAAATGGCCAGAATGAGTTTTCTCAATCTCTGAGTTCAGACATCCGGGGAGAGTTCTGAGTTGTACCTCTGCTCCTTTATGTAGAATGAGGACAGCTGAGTTGGTTTGGGCATCTGGGCATGCCCAACTGAGAGGTGAGAAATCACAGGAAGGGTATATTCCATCTGGCCTGGGAACACCTCAGGATCACCCAGGATGACCCAATGTGAGCTAGGATTGTCTCCAGCCTCCAGGGGACCCACATATTGTAGATAGTGGATGTACAGTACAAATATTACAATGCACAATATAACATCAGCATGGTAGCATGGTAGCAAACTGGTTTTAGCATTTGGCTAATAGCCCATCTTATTATTTTACTCTGTTCTTAAATTTTGTTTTTTGTTTTTTTTTTAGGAGAGTTTGGATTTCTTGAATTCAAATGTATTGAAACCTTCAAAGTATTTTCTTGTGGGAAAGAATCTCCTCTCCTACTCTTCAACCTTATCATCACATCACATTTATTTTACACATGATAGAGCATTTTGTGTAATCCATAACCCTCTAGTGTCCAGTGTATATATACATACATGTATACATACATATACATATATATAATATATACATATGTGTCTGTGTGTGATGCTTCAGGATGATTTATATGTAATAGCAGTAGTATAGCAGTAGTTAGCATAGTTCAGAGAGAGGGAATCAACAGTGTTTGAGCCCCTAACTGTGGTAATTTTTCACTCTGCAGGCTGTAGGTTGGCACAGAGTTATCTGTTACTAACCCCCGTCAGAAAATAATGAGTGTGCATGGCTGCACAGAGTTCTCCTGTCTAGTTTTCCCGACTTCCCTTCATCTACCACCAGTACCTGGCCTTCCCTAACCTTTCCTGTTCTCCTTGGCAGCCTCTTCTTCTCGCTCACCTAATTAAAAGCTCAACCTCTCACCCTTACTCATACAAAGACACCTGAACTGAAGCCACGCAGGGACCATGGCTCCTTATGATGAGCTGTATGATTGACAAGGTTCATGGCTGACCCAGTCCTTCAGATTTTTCCTCAGACTTCAACAAGTTGATCATTAAGGTGTTCTGACTCGAGGATGTATTTTAGATTTAGTCCACACTGCTTTTTATTCTGTAGAGCTAAGACCAACTTTAGTTTTTGGCTATAAAGCTTAGTTAGTTGTTTCTGAAACCCATTTTATCTTATTTGTTGAAATTGATAGCCATCAATAAGTAAAGTCATCTGGGGAAAAAAGGCCCTTGCAAGACTGTAATAGACAGGACCAATGTTTTCATTAGAACTGAATCATGATTGGCTGGTGTAAGGATCTGTCACTAACAGACCCGCCTGCCTTTGTGCACCCTCTTACTGAGCATCCCACTGAGACATGCACCACTGAAGCAGAGACGAAGTTAGTGAACTAGTCCCTGAGAAGTCAGCTTCTTGCAGTGTGTGTTCATGTGGGCATGGCTTTGATGAGGAGGAGAAAGAGATGGGTAGGGATATATTAGTTTTTAAGTGTAGCCTGCTCTTGACAACGTTTTCTCGATCACTAACTCTAGCTTTAAGACAATAACAGGCAGTCCCATGATGGAAATTGAATTTGTTTGCTGGGTAAGAAGAACATATTTGTGCCTTGCACTAAAATAATGTTTTGATTTTAGTTTGTTGCTTGCAACTGCTGAGTTTTTGGAATCAAATAATGTGGTGTATTTCCCATGGCTCAGATTTTTTTTTTCATCTCTTGGTTTGGTATTTTTAAAGAGCCCAGTTGGATTTCTGATGATTCCAGATACAATATCACAGCAGTTTCTTTTTTTCTAAAGTCAAAAATCCCCCAAAATGCAGCACCTTTTCACTTTCTGGCTGCTGTACTTTTCATTTTAACCATAACATGAATATACAGAGGAATGACTTTGTATACTGACCCTTTTCAAAGTCTGCTCTTCCTGCATTACTCTTTCTGTGTTTTTATCACTCCTCAGTCCCCTCCTTGCCTTCCCTTTGTGCCAACGATCTAATTGTGCTGTTGCATCTTTCAAAATGGCTAATGGGTTTGAGAACCGCCAACGCTTCTCACTTTAAACGGTTCAAAGAGATAGTTGGATTGATGTCACTGTGGATACGGTTTGACTCTCTCTTTCTGTTTTTCTGTCTCTCCCGCACACACCCTTCCTCATGGCATCAGAAATGAGCCTAAAAATAGACTCGCTGTCAATTGACAGGGAAGACATGTAACTTAAATCATTTTTATTTCACAGGATATTGAGAAAATCCTCAATAATACCTAAGCATTAACAGCACAAAAACATAGATAAATCATGCAATCAAGGTAACATAACAGATGAAGCAAATTAAATTATCAGAAGAGGAGCTCCAGTAGGAAGTAGCTGAACATCAAAGCAGCCAGCTGAGGGCCAAACCCGTCGGAGTCTGTCTACATCACAGCCACACTTTGTCGCAGTCTCTATCACCCTCTGTCGTCATGGCACATCTTCTACCAAACATGAACCCAGAAAGGAAGTAGTGATGTATATGTTTTCGCGCGTGTGTGTGTCTGTGTGTGTCTGTGTGTGTCTGTGTGTGTCTGTGTCTGTGTGTGTCTGTGTCTGTCGGTGTCTGTGCGTGTCTGTGTGTTTATGTGTGTCTGTGTGTTCCACACCTGCACAAAACATGACCCATTTTATCATGTACTGCTTTATCTATGACAGGGCTGTTGTGCAGGTTCCCATTTTAAAAATATTCATGCATACCGATCCTGTTTAAAAATGGAAATGTATTCACACTTGTCCCAAAACACCTGTGAACCCCCGCCACACACACAGTCAAAGAGTAACACACACATAATTCAGTTTTCCCTTTTATTAACCAAGGGGTGACTAATTTTATAATGTTGTTTCAAGTATTTTCTGTGTTGTCTACAATATATCAGTGGTAACAATTACCCAAGTCTTATCCTCTGACTTCAGGCCATTGTTTATAAAACTGCTTTGGTCTAAATCACGCTGCTGTTGTGCTTTTCTTCTTAATCAAACATAAGGCTGCCAGTAAGGCAGATATATCGATCCAGTGGTTTGTTTTGTAATTAGATGTTTAGTCTGTAACCATTGCTATAAAGTCTGCCACTTACTCCCAGTGGCACCTCAGTAGTTGCCACTCCGACATACTCGGTTTAATCCCACAGAAAGTCCAGGGCTCAGGCGCAGACCCTCATCGTTGTCAGCTCTCCTCTGGCAGTGAATTACTTGCTTTGGTTGATTTACTCCAAGTGTTACCCTGATGCAGGTGATTGATGAAGGGTTATACCAAACATGTCGAGGGGATTGGCCATCGTCTTACCTTTTCTTATTCACTTGCTGGAACACAAGCACTTGTTTCCAAGGTAACAGGCTGTGTCTCTGTACCACAGCATGACAAGCTACTATTTTCTGTCCAGTGTTACATCTATTAACATGACACAATGCAGCAAGTACGATTGATTGACTGGCCATGCCCCCTCTATCATGTTAAATGGAGAATATCTCGCTTAAGCTGTTTTCAAACATCACCTGCGGAGGAACTCTGGACAATTGGGACTTTCTCCTCAGTTTTCCTTTCATACATGCACAATGCAGCAGGAGATTCTCTGCTCAGATGTGTTCACAACAGCAACAAATCCTCTGGAGGATTCAGGTGAGGGTTGGTGCAGCAGACAGAGGCAGGGTGTAACTTATTATTTCTGCTGCTGAGATCACAGGTTTTGTTAACAGGACACCAGCGTTAGCCCTTATCGCCACAAAGTCTCTTCACATCATCTGTGTCTGCTTGTGGGACTCTACTTTTTCCACCAGGGGATATTAGTTTTTTTTTTTTTTCATTTTTCATTTTTTATGTTAGAAACGTCATCAACACATGGGTTTTTTGGAAGGGCTTTTGGACACACTTTCAGTGTTCACCATTTTCTATGAAGACTCACCTGACAAAATAATCTTTGATTAATGAATCCATTTAGGCTACAGTGTTACTGCATCTGCTTTAATGAATGTTTAATGACTGGCCTTGTCTTATTAATCTGATCGTGACACTGTGAAACAGAACTGAAAACTTGACTCTTTTTAGTTCTCAAATCCAAGAGATCTCAACAAATGATGCCAAAAAGCCTCAGCATTGCTCTTAATACTCTTAGTACTCTAGTGAAGACTCAGCTGAAGACCATAACCACAGCATATTATTATTATTATTGTTTGTTATTGTTCTGGATAAAGACTGAGCTTACTGTGACATCGGCCCTTGCCTTGGTCTGAACGACAACCTGCCGTAGGACAATTGAAGAACTCTTACAAACCCCTTTTGAAATATGACACTAATACATATCTGAGGATGTTTTTATAGGATTGACGTTCAATGCTCATGACTTAAAAAAATCCCTGTGCTGAAAGTTGGCAGGAACAAAAACT